AAGAGATACTAACCAAGTATTTAGAAGAAGATGTCCCTTTCTTTTCTTTCAAATTTCAGACATGGGACACAGAACTGGAGAGATCTGCAGAGTCGTGGGCCGAAACCTGTCTATGGGAGCATGGGCCTGCAAGCCTTCTTCCATCAATTGGGCAGAATTTGGGGGCACACTGGGGAAGGTAGTTTAAGATACTGTTTTATACTATATATGCTTTTTTTAACAAATCTAACAAAATTTGCTTAAAGGTAGAATGATAGAAGCTACAACTTTTGAATGATCTAATAGACTGCTACTGGCTTTCATAGGTACCGACCTCCAACATTCCATGTCCAAGCATGGTATGATGAAGTGAGAGATTTCACGTATCCCCATCCTCATGAATGCAACCCGTATTGTCCTTACAAATGCTCTGGTCCTGTTTGTACACATTACACACAGGTATGTAGGTGGGCTTGGGTTTTGTCAGCTATGGAAAAGAGTGGTCATGACCTCCAGTTAGCTTGCTGTATGACACATAGAATGTGTTAATCTTGCAGTATATACCACAGCACTAAAGCACAAAAGGGACTTCTTATTAGTTATTAGACTCTATAGTTACAAACATTGGGTATTGGTGACAGAGTAGGGTTGTCATACAAATCTTTAGATTTCATCCTCATAAATATCACTTCCTTAACAGGATTAAGAAAAAACTCACAAAACCCAGTACTGAGTGTTATTGCCCAGTGCACCTTGTATAATCTAGTCTCTGCGCTGGTATGCTGGGAATCCTTTCTGTAATATGCTGAAGAAACAGCACATTTTAAAAAAATAGGTTTTCTTAGGTGAATTCCTCAGATCAAACAACAGTTTTTAATGTTGCTTTAACTTCAGCAAGATTTTGAAATTGAATAAGAACTGATTTATTTGGTACTTCTGAAGTATGTGTATCTAGCCTGAATTTTTCCAGTCATGTTTTCAGTGAATGGGAAATATGTGATCCTCAGATTATACTAAAATCCACATGTAATATTCAATATAATATTAGAAAACTTCAAAATGATTAGTTTTTAAGCATTTATTTTGTTTGTTTACTACCACAATTTGCAATTGTATGTAATTTTAAGACATAATTACCTCCACATTCTTATTTACCATTTCTGTAAAAATACCTATAATTACACTTATCCATTATATGCAAGATCTACAATACATATATTTAGTTCCTTGTGGTACTAATTCTTCACAGTACCTCTCTCTTTCAACTCCAAAATCCTTTTGGAACTACACAGTTGGCTTATCTTGAAATAATACAAGTTTAGCACCAGCCTTTGTCGTTCAGATTATTTTGAGATCTGCAATGAATATGGTTTCAACAGATGAATAAAGGAGCACAGCCCCCTTATATTGCAATGATGTGAAAGCCTGTTAATTTAAAAACCATGACTTAAGTCTCTTTGCTGTATGAGGTTTTTTGTGAATAGTTCTATCATTTATGTTACCTCCTTTCAATGCTGACAAATATTTATTCTCTCAGTCTAACCAATCTAAACCCCTCTGGGTCCTTAGGTTGTGCTGAGAACTCCAGGGCACAGGAACCTAATTTCTTCTAACTCACGATTATCTATTAATTGTAATTCCAAGAATCACTTCTTCAGATCATATTTTGTAAATATTTTGCTACACTTTCAAATGCATGCTTAGACCATTTATATAAAATGAGAGCCATATCTTTCGTATCAAGGTAAACCTTTTCTTTCTAATAAGGATATAACTGAAAGGCCTTTAATGAGGTCGCTTCAATCTATTTATAATGGAGCGGAATATAACATCACTTTTGTGATTTGAGTTTTATACATTGAAGTTTGGAGACAGTTTTGATTTTATGCTAATCACCTTTGTTTTTCACATGCCTTTCTCTTGCCTTTTCCATAGGTTGTCTGGGCTACAAGTAGCAGAATCGGTTGTGCAATTAATTTGTGTCATAACATGAACATCTGGGGACAGATTTGGCCAAAAGCAGTGTATCTTGTATGCAATTATTCTCCTAAGTAAGTAGGCTGACACCGAATAATATCTTGAGTGGGCAAGATACTTTATAATAATCCAGGAAATAATCTGAAAGGAAATCAGTCTGGGTTTTCTATTTTTTCCACTATTACAAAGTAGAGCATTGTTCCCAAGGCAGCCTTTGGCTGTACAAATACTCTTGTGATTTTCTAGATCTTCAGTTTTCTGGCCTGTGTTTTAGCATACATCATCAGAGATCTTTGTTGTAGTGTGATATTTGTCTGAAAAATAAATGTATCTCCCCATTGTGACTTTAAGGAATGTATACCATGAAGCCAATGGTTAAGATCAAATTCTATAGAATATTCCATTTAGGAGCGCAGAGCCTGTTCTCATGTAATTGAGGAATTTAGTCTTCTGGTGCTATGCCAATCTAAAAAGATCTTACAGCAGCTTATGGCAGTACTTCAGTTTTTTCTTCATGAACTTTTCAATTACTTCCTGTGCATTTGGTATGTCAAAACAATGTTATGGTCTAAGCGTTTGCTGGTTTTCATCATTTATTTGTCCATATATTAAAAGCTGTTTAATGTTAACATGTTCATTTATTAAGGTGTGTTTTGCTAATTTTTTTTTTTTTTTTTGTGGAAAGGGGTAACTGGTGGGGTCATGCTCCTTATAAACCTGGTCGCCCTTGTTCTGCATGTCCCCCTAGTTTTGGAGGAGGTTGCAGAGAAAATCTTTGTTACAGAGGTATGTACTATTTCAACAGTACAATTATAAATGGGACTTTCTTTTGCTTTCTTTCCTCATTATGCTTTAACATAGTGGAATAGAATATATCATGCATGTGCCCAAAGACCTGGTAGGGGCCTTCTTTACTATGATGAGTGAGGTCATGTCCTTATGAGACGTGAGGCCAAGCCTCACCAGAGGGAGTGGAGTGTACTGAAATCCTGCTGATTTAAGTGCTGATTGAGGGCTTTTAGTACACAAAGATGCAGAATGTCACTGTGTGCTGTTTGTATGCCTTTTTGTAATTATAGTGGAAGTCTATGCAGTGATTTGTTTATAGGGAGATGTTATCACAGTGACATAGCCCTGTGCATTGCTATAAGAAAAATCAAGAACAAAACTAGAAGACATTAGTAATTAAACAAAATGTCAGCTATGATCATTATTAATTTCTTACAATTTTCAAAATGCTATTCGTATTTTATAGCATTGAAACACAGCATATTATGAAGCTGCTATTTCTTTTTGTTTTACTCCGTGTGCAAATAATTTAGCAATTTTTGTTAGAAACTTTTTTATTATTCATCTATTCATACGGACCATAAAAGCTGCACCAGTGTGCCCAAATACCTTGCTTGTGGTTCTTGCTTAAGTAAGAAATGTATATTCAGTGATGGGCATTTCAAAATTATTTTCATTATGTGTGAATAGAAGGGCCTCATTTTCAAGTGTACATTTTTATGAAATTGTCTTCTTTAATGACAAGTTATCTATGAACTTGCTAAAACTTTTCCAATGCACAAGAGAAATATCACCTTTGTTCTATTGGTTTTCTGGTGGCATAAAGAAGATACTAAAACAGGGTTGTTAAGAGCACTTTCACACCTCAGTTGTGCTGCCTGTGCTAGAAAAATTCTGCCTTTTCTGAGCATCAGAAAGATACTTAAGATGTATTGTTAAGCTTGAAGTCTTCATCTTACTAAGTAGTGAAAAATTTTCCTTGCTTTCTTGCTTGTGTTCATCCACCATTTTGTGAGAACAAAGCCATGTTACCAAAACATGGTAAGGGATTTACATTCCACAAACACTGCATTTTTTTTACCTAAGTGATTATTTTTTGCCCGTTTTCTGAAACAGAGGATTCAGAACGGCCTTATTCTCCTCATGAACCAGAAGAGGAAACCAATGAGATTGAACGGCAGCGATCCAAAGCCCAGGATGCAACGGCACAAAGCCGGCCAAGAACTCATTCACCTTCAGGCTCCACAGGCAGCGATGACAGTGAGAAAAATGAAGTAATAAGCACACAGCAAATGTGTAAGGAATTTACCTGATTTGCAAGTGGTCAACAATTTTGAATTATATAGTATCAAATTCATTGCAGTGAAATTGCTTTTTGCTTGTTTTAGCTCAGATTGTTTCATGTGAAGTAAGGCTAAGAGATCAGTGCAAAGGAACAACTTGCAATAGGTATGGTAAATTTTACAGTTGTCATTCTGAGATTATTATAAAAGGCTATATTTGTATGTGAGCTGGAATATTTTCCCTATTTGTAATCCCAGGATTTAAGACCAAGTTGTGTTTTATATTCTTAGGTATGAATGTCCTGCTGGGTGTTTGGATAGCAAAGCCAAAGTTATTGGAAGTGTACATTATGAAATGGTAAACTTTTTAAAATTAGATTTTGTACCAGTAGATTGTTTAATGAAACATCTTTTCTGTTGGAATACTAGTTAAAATCGTATTAAGAATGGATTTTGAAGAAAACAATATTCACCAAAAATAAAAGCCTACACCAAATGTTTAAGATATCATCAGGTGATCTAAGTTTGCATGTGCTATTCTGCCTCTACTGTCCAAATGTACTTCATACTTCTTATACATGCACAGAAGTAGAATTTTTGTGTCCACATATTTGGGTATAAATATGTGAAAGTGCAACTTAAGGAGAAATACAGCAATTTGTGGGTATACTCATATAAATAGTTTCAGTAAGGCAGGCCGACTTGTGTAAGCTTAATGCTAGCTGAAAAATATATAATTTACTCTGTAGAACTGAAAAACAGTATAGGAAATAACAGCTACTGTGAACAAGTACATTGTAAGTGAGTATAGTTTATCTCTGAGGAAGTCAAAGTGGTGTTTTCTTCATTTAAAATAATACCTACATAGACCACATCAAACTTAACAGACTATCTACCAAGTTTTTATTGACACATTGTAATTAAAACACGATTTTTTCAGAAATAAATTACAAGGTGAAATAGTGGCTTTGTCTGACATGGAACTGCTTTTCCTGCTCTGTTTTTCAGCAATCCAGTATTTGTAAAGCTGCCATACATTATGGCATCCTAGACAATGAAGGTGGTTGGGTTGATGTCACTAGGCAAGGAAGGAAAAATTACTTTATCAAGTCTTACAGAAATGGCATTCAGTCAATTGGGTAAGTTTTCTTAAAATTAAAATGTATGGAAAGTTTTTCACCTGTTTCTTTTTATTGCATACAAAATATATCACATTAATAACATTTTGTCATTTTGTTCATACTTTTTGTCATAAAGAGTATGAAAATGCTATAAAAAGGCATGTGGATATACAGGTATTGTATCCATTCTGAAACTTTAGCCAGTGTCTAATGGTGCACAGAAAGGTGATGCAATAATGATGTGAAAGGTGAAACAGTTTACAAAATCACTTGGGGAAAAATTAGTATTTATAGTTAAATAATCTCAATATTTGGAGTATTCAGTTAATTCATTCGTAAGTGTATATATTTATTGTAGAAAACTAGTACATACTGGCACTGAACTAGATTGTTTTACATGTTTTGGACAAAGCTTGTAATATTTCCAGGGTCGGCCCATGGACACAGTAATATGTGACAGATAACAAAGCAATAATCTTTCAAGTTTGTGTTTGGAGATGACCCTCTTGTACTGTGCATATGAACAACATGAATCAAGTAGAAAATACACCTCTTCCTATATGTTTGATGGTTTCATCACAATTCCACAATTTACATATGATATTTTGTGCCAATATTTTGCACAATTTCTACAATGGCCAGTGATGGAATAATATCTCATACTGTGGAAGCATCATTTGGAGGTGGACTACACTGTTCAGGTGCTTGCCCTAAGACTGGTATGTGAAAACAGGTCCAAGTACTTGTTGACAAGCTAAAAGAAAAACCAGAAAAACAGTACATATAAGTGGAGAATACTTGGCCGTTTCCATACGTAATTACCCAACGACAGGACAACATTGATATGTTTGAATCTAAGATATTATTAGTATTTTCAAATTACACTTCACTATATCTTAATGTATTCTGCAGAGATGTACATTGCTGTCCTTATTTCTGCCTATAGTTAGTGTATGTGTAATAGTAGTATGTTTGTAATAGTTAATGTGTGAGTAATATCAAACTGAAAGAAAACAGAATTTTGCTGAGTGATATATTTGGCTCAGGTGTGAACCTGAGGGTAAGGAGATGGGTAAATGTTAGGGCCTGTGCTCTGCCTCTGTGCTGTGCAAACAAATGCCACATGCTATGACACCTTTCATAATTTCTCCTTTGAACAAATTTACCTAATCCAGGATAGAGAGAAACACTGACCAGGTAGTCTAAATTCAGTGGCCTATAATTTGGGCTACCTGGGTAGCACTTAAGGCATTGATATCAATCTGTTTCTTTGGGTCTTTTGATGATCTGACTGTGTTTTAAGTTACTCCCCCTAAAAATGAAGATACAGAAAAATATCCCTTTTTAAAATGCTTTGAGACAAAGAGAGAAGTTAATCTTGTTTATATCAATACTAACATACTAGGAGCCAGCTTTCCTGTAAGTGTAGGAGTAGTTAAACTGTAGAAAATTGTCAAACTAGAAGGAATTGGTTTCCCATCAGTTGAAATCTGTGTTTCTATGCCATCTGAGACAAAACTGTATGAGCGTCCAGTCTACAGAGTGCGTTTAGCACCTATCCTCTGAGAATCGGAACTCAGAGCGGTGTTAACTCTTGGTTTTGTTTGCTGTGGGCATGGATAATCGTATCATTGCTGAACAGTAATGGTCATTTTGGTTTTGGTTTGTGATTCAGATGATGTAAAAAAAAGTTTAGATGCCTTATAGATAAAAGACTGTTAAACGACCAAATCTATACCTTCCTATCTACAAATATATTTGAGGAAACTCCTGCCGCCATGTGTGTGCACAGATTACATAATTTTTCATTAATGTCCTATAGTATTCAGGACATCACCTTTTAGAGTGAATTTACAAAATACTGTGACTGGGCATCAACTTATAAGTCGGTCTATAAATGAAAGTCTTTGGAATAAATAAAGATGATTTACCAAAGTTTCAACCTTCAAAAGGTCCATCAATAAAGCTGGGGATACCTTGCAGCTACCTGACTCTCACCAGTGTCTCTAGATGGAGCCTTGCATCAACTACGCATCTATTGAATTAATAGATGAAATGAAGTGGATCTCATGTCTAGTGCATATTGCAAAACAGAAAGGCAGAAAAAGGAATGTCAGTGCAACATACAGCAAATTTCCTAATCTTCAACTCCTTTGATTTATAATCAGGATTGCTAATACAGATGTTTTTTCAACTGTTGCATTTTTGTAGTATAGAATACCATTTTTAACGTTTTATCTCAGCAAGCTAATCAACAACAGAATACAGTGGACTGTGTCCCACATCAGTGTTTGACAATGCTAGGGCAACAGACGTATGAGCTAACTCCATGGAGGCAAATTGGAATCTAATCAATGAGCAAATGTGAAATTGGAGGGCCATACAACTAAATAAACCAGTGCAAGCAAACAGTTATTGAATACAAATTGCAGTGCTATGGAGCACACAGGAGTAATTTGCTCCAAAGGTGAATTGGGAATAATTTCCTTGTTTGTTTGTTTTTTTTAAATAATAAATAACTTTATGGGTGCTAAAAGCATCATCAGCTTCTTTGTTATAGATGAAAGACATTAGAATCAGAGGCATATCCAATGAGTTGAGAGGAGTAAAAAAGGAATAAAATAGGAGATAATGGGGAGTAAAATAGAAGTGTTTATCAATTATAATGTAACAACAGAATGCATACACCTGACTTTATATAACAACAGGAAACAGATACACCTGAGTACCATATAATTACTGAGAAAAACAGACTGTTACATCTTATACTGGGTTTATAGTGATACTGGTGATAATTTAACATAGACACAAGGTCCAAAAGTAACATTTAGTGAAATTTTTGAAAAAGGCTGCCAGGAGAAACTCTTTTCAGTGTTGGAGCTGTTTGTAGGAATAAACCTTTGGGGGGAAGCAAATTATCTCTGCCGATACATGGACGCTTCTGAGCAATTCTCAACCACAGGTTTTGGTTGCTACATTTTGAGGGACAAATAGATTGCATAATTTGTTCCTAGCATATTTATTATCTTACCAAATTAAATTACTGGAAGAGTTTAACATGCATTCCTGGTTTTCAAAGAGATTCACTGGGAGTACAAAGTAAATGTATCATTTCAATAAATAGATTCACAACGGGGGAGAGAGGGTGCAGTGAGTAAAAATTGATTTGGGACAATGTCTTGAGTTTTTTTTTTCTAGATTCTCTAATAACAGTTCTCCTAGTGAGAAGCAATCATTGAGAGATGTTATTTACTGACTATTTCTATTATGTCTTTTTCAGAAAATACCAGTCTGCTAACTCCTTCACTGTCTCTAAAGTAACAGGTTAGCATTTAGACTCAGTACTATTTTGGGTTATGTTTTTTTCTAAATAGCACACATTTATTCATTTCTCTTTTACTTTCTTCAGTTCAAGCTATCACCTGTGAAACAACAGTGGAACAGCTGTGCCCATTTCAAAAACCAGCCTCACACTGCCCAAGGTAAAATTCTTTGAGTCTTATTAATTTGAAGTGCTGCCATATTTTCTGTCAGTTACTGATTATCTATAGTTGTTATTGATAAAGGTGACAACCGTAGCTGTAAAAGTGAAGCCAGAAATGTTTTACCAGTATTTTAGTTTTTGGTCTAAGGTTGGTAAAGATGATCTACAGGCCTTTCCATTATGAGAATTTCACTTTCTTTTACCCATAAAGATCTGTCTTTGGTCCCTTGGCAAATCTTAGTGAAATCGTTGTTGGTTAGACCAAAGAGTGCAAAGTGAAATGCATTTTTCTTTTTCATTGTTCGCTATTAAATCTATGCACCTTGGGCAAAATACACTTTATTTCACTTTGTTTGCCTGTAAAGCAGATACAATAAAAGGATATGATACAGATATTTATCATAGAAGTTATCAACTTGTTTGGGAATTTTGGAAGATAGAGCAAGCAAATACATTTGCAAAAAAATTGAAATATGTATTATTGGTAAGGTGTGGTCTGCAGATCAGTTAACAGCTTTAAATATATGTGCTATTTTTTTGAAGCCTATGTTTTAACTCTTCAAAAGGAGTCTGTGCCACAGTATTTTGAGGAAGGAAATCGGTAACAGTTCTTAAAACCATAGATGAGTCAAAGGTAAATACACTGTAGCATGATTTACCGCAAGCTAAGCTGGAGATATCCACAGGATTACTTTCATAGCAATCCTACAGCCAATGCAGGAAGCAAGTACAAAGCCAATACTGCTAGGAAAACATCTCTCCATGTAGCACTTGGGTCCGTGGACTTGTTTGGTGTTTGGCTATGACTCCTGGCTTTCTAGCTGGAAGATGTGGAGAAGTAAGTGAAGGAGTGGAATGCAGGAATGGATGGGTACAGTCTCATAGTTCTATCCTTCCTTCTTTCCTTCATTATTAAAAACTAAAACTATCTTCATTAAGAGAAAAATAGGGTCTGTCTTTAAGAAAATTTAAAAATAAGCATAAGGTTCAAAATGACTGATTCATTCTGATGCATCAACTTAAGGAACTTCACAACAGCAGTGATGCATTCAAGATTCTGTGCAGGCTCTTAATTCTGAAAATGTAATCTCAGGAGTTACAAGTAGTAATCAGCTATGGCATTGACTGCGCAACCTCATTTTTCCCTCTCATGCCCTAATCATAAATCAGCAGGTCTTCAAAAGGCCTCTTTGACATCTTGCTTCCTTCACACAAAAATCTCTTTCCTAGCTGCATCAGCCTGTTTTAATTACCCACCTGGTAAGACTGTAGCATGCCCAAGTGGTGTGACATGCTGAATATCTATTAGAGCATGGATAGCATCCCGGAGAAGAACACTTGCCCAGGGCTGCCCTGTGTAGGGTGGCTCCAAAGCCATTAGGGCATGACCCCTTTTTGAAATGAAACAGCTCAGAGTAGACCTGGAGCTGACTGGCACTTCTTCTTTGTAGCATATCACAATTACCAAACAAGATGCTTGACACCTTCTATACTACTGTTAGCTTCCCACATGGTTTTCCTGTGCATTTTGGAGCTATAGCAGGCATGAATCACAGAGAGATTTTCTCAAAGGTTAACAAAATGCAGCTGAATAAAGGCAGTCTTTGTTTCAGTCGCTTTCTGATCTCAGAATCAGCTGGGAATCTCATTACCTTCCAAAGTTTTTCATTTTAGCCACAGGTGCCAAGCGCTCTCCCTCATTATAAGTTGCCAAATTGGCTTGCATCACCAGGTCATCAGCATCATAGCAGGTCCTCATTCAGATATGCCTCTCCTGTGAAGGTATTCAACTGTACAGTTTGTATAGGGTGCTGTCGAAACAGATAATAATATGAGTGAACAGTCTCTCTTCTCACTGGCTTTTCTACTGGCCTCACATATGTTGAACAAGAACACCATGTGCTTATCCAACGCGAAGAAGACCAGACCTGTTCAAGTATGTTTTCAAGCACTTTGTTATGAACCACAACTTACATCAGCAATACTTTCACCCGTATTGTCAAAGCCTCAAAAACTGACAGCCTTTAGTATCAGTATAGACCCATATGTATGCGTCATCAAATTGAGTTATACTCAATAATGCTGATGTTTAATAAGATATGGTAATACTCTGGTATCATTCTTCCTAACTGTGTGTGGTTTCTGTTTGATATTTCAGGGTCTATTGTCCTCGCAACTGTATGCAGGCAAATCCACACTATGCTCGTGTAATTGGAACACAGATTTATTCTGATGTAAGTATAGTGATTTACATTGCATTATATAATGAAATATAAAATCCTATGAAAAGCTATAATGTAAAGATAATAAGACATAATATAGATATCCAGTTTTCCTCCATATGCTGATTTTTACACAGTCTTTTCGAAAGTTCTTTTTCAGAGGCTCCCATTTAAGTTAGTAGTACTCAGCTGCTGAAGATACGGAAAGTTATTTGAAAACTCAGTGTAGACTTTGGTCTCTGGACCCATATTTTCAATTTTTTATCAGAACTCCCACTGATTTGTTCAGTATTGGCAGTGTGTAGTCATTTAAACCCTTGTTTTTTAGACTCTGATGCAACCATAACTTCTGTCAGGTAAAACTAGCCAAAAAAAATTTATTCTGGAAATAAATGTCCACAGTCTCATTATTTTGGATATTTCTTATCTGTGTAGATAGCTAAATATTTGCAGCAGGATTTTGATATATTTGTGTAAAGCATCTCACATTGTCATATTATTTTAACAGACTAATACTGTATTTTTTTTTGTCACTCTGTTTCCTAGTTAACTTTTTTTTTTCTGTCTTTTCTACATCATGTTTAGTTCTGAAGTGGGTAGAAATAATGAAAAGAAATTTCTTTTTTATGTCTCTCCTTCGTCATCTCTGTATGGAGAAGCCAGGATGTAGTGGCAGAGAGCAGTTAACATTTTTGCCATTAAACTGTATGTTTTAACTGTCTTTTAGCTGTCAGATGATGATTTTCACTACTTTTCAGCACTTTGAAATGTGTGAAAATAATATGCAAATATTTATTCATCATTATTTTGAAAGTAATTAATGTCCATTAGATTACCTGAGTAACTTGTCCTTAAAACACTCCTGTCCATGAGTAGTGTTATATGTCAGAGAAGTACTTCCAATTCAGGAAGTAAATTGATTTGTGCATGTGGAACTGGGTCCTCAATGTGTATAAAAGGGGCTGTGAAAATAGATTCAGTGAAAGTCTATTTTGTGGAAGATGGTTTTCTTTCAGTCCTGTGGTTGCAATCAAAGTTTGCAACCAAAGTTTCCCAGCGAGTTAGAAAAGACTTTGTTGTAGAAGAAAGAAGACCCATTTCTAACTTACACAGGAGAACATCTCAGAATATGTATTTGCTTTGGCTGGAGAAGTCCCAGATGACTTTAATTAGTGTTATAGAGTTATGCTTCAAAATTATTTTAGATGTACTATCTCATTATTCATCTCCATTGTATAGAAATGTGTGTAACCATACTGCTTTTAGGAAAAAAAGGACATAAATACAGGCAAGCAACCAGGGATGGGAGTCTTCTTATCAACTCCAGATGCTGTCAGGGTAGATATCTACATGGAAGGTGCTAGTCTAGGTTATGTTTATAGTAGTTAGTAGTACATACAGTATAGTGGTAAAGGAGATAAATAGGCATCTGCAGAACAGGATTAATTTGACCTTTTTGGAGTGTCTACCTCAGTATGAGATGAATTGCCTAGTGGAGATGTCTATTCCTCTCCATTTCCTACAGAAGAGTCCTAGGGCACCTAGCTCAGATATAGACAGATGTGTCTTACCTGTATTTGTACTGACGTTCCCATTGATGGTATCAGCATTAGGCGATTTTCTACAGTGTTTCTTTCTTGCTAACATTTAAATTATTTTAAAGCTAAGATGCTTTTTATTGAAATTTCACTAAATAATATGATTGGGTATTTTGTGCATTATAATTTATTACTGGACTAGTTTCAGGTGAAGCATTTATGGAGAATAATCTACTTCATAAGTGTGTCCTCTTTTGTAGTTTTTCATGTATTCACAGACAGATTTGTTCATAGATACAGAGAATTCATTTGCCCACTTGCCATAGCAAATGTATTTGAAATTGCAGTCCATGGTCTACTTGGCTGATGCCACAAAAGAGATGTTCTTTCGTGACGTTCCTGCAAATTGTTTTGTTTCAAAAATGCATATATATGTATGTGGATGTATGCATATACGTACATGACTTTTTATTTGCACTAGTGCTTAGGCCACTTGCATTCAGTAAATGAAGAAGATTTTGCAGAGATATTAAGACAAAAAGCAAATAACACTAATAGATGTCACTAATACAAAAAGATATGTTTACAAGACCATTTTTGTAGTATTTGTGAGAATCTAGTCAAGCTTTTCCTTTTCTGGTTTTGGTCTGATCAGACATTCATTCTTAAACTAATTTGGTATTCTACAGTGACTCCTTTTTCTCCCTGTTCCTGAGAAGGGTTGTTCTCTGGTTTATCAGTAATGCCCCACAGAATTTTTACCCTTTTTTTCCTCCCATTCTTTTTTAACTTTGACATTGCAATGACTGTGCCTAACTCGATTGAAACAAAAACTTGATTGAAACAAAAGCCCACATTATTTCATCCTCCATTCTTCCAGTCTGCTAGCTATTGTCTCTTTGTCTATGGCCATGGTTCGTATAGCCAGCATCTATAAACTTATGTGTGTGTGGAGTTTTCATGTAATACCCATCCCCCTGTGCTCTATAACTTCTATTTTTTTAGTTGGTCTCCCTTTGTTTCACTTGTCTTGAGGTAGGTTGCAAGCTCTTTAAAACAAAAGCATCTCTTATTCTGAGTTTATGATACACTTAGTTTCTTTTCTGAATAGAGCTATTATGGTATGAATAAGAATTGTAGTTTGTGTCATTCTCAGCAGACAGAAGTACAAATTACTCATTCTGCATATGGCCCAAACACATTGCTACCTTTGTGCTTTGTGCTTCTGCTGGCCCCACTGCTAAGAGTTTCCACATGGCGATGCTTTGTCTTGTTGGGAGGACCAGGAAAAAAAAAGAAAGTTTCCTCCTATCTTGTGCTGAATAGTTGGTTCCACCTTTCAACTTTGGCTAATACATTTTGTCTAAAACTTTTTTAGTCTTATTTCTGGAATTTCAGAATTATGTCATGTTGACAAGCATTTTAACAATATCCGTATTTTTAAAGCATTTTTCCATATACCCACATTTGTGAAATAAAATAAAAGCCTTCCCAAGAACTGAATCATGTCAGGCCCAATGTGATTGTCTGAACTCTCTTGGAGATGATCCTGCAGGACCTGCCTGTACAGAGATTGTCCTTTGTTGTTGCTCCTAGTTCCTGGATTATCAAGGTACCAAAATAACAAACATTTTCATAGAGAGAAAGAGAGGCTACAATAGTTCAGTTGGAAATTCCTTCACTTGCACTTTTTTTTGGTAAAGTTATATTTTAATAGACACAGCTTAGATGTGTATATGGTAGAAGTTCTTAACCACATTCCAGTTGCCTTATAAGAATTTCTAAAGAAATTAAGGTTTATATTTATCCTATTGTTTTCACAGTAGGCGACATTTTCCCAAAGACAAGCTCTTACCAGTAGTGACTCTACATTATGGGTGTTGATTGATCAACTCTACAAAAAAATTAAGGCTCCTTTTGGGGGCTAGAGATCAACAAAGGTCTTTTATCTGAAGAATTTGATGGAGTTGTGTAATTTCATACCATCTGAGGACTTTGGCCATATTAATTTTTGTTTCAGTAACCATATATGGAAATATATCCCTAATACTTGTGCAAAAGTATTCATAATTCTCTGCTGTGGTGAAATATAAACAACATGATGCAAAAAAGTTATTAAATAGTTCTATAGTCCTGTGTTGGTAAGGGAGAGATGCTTGTGGTTAAAATGCCTTTGCAGAGTACTGCTATGCGGTGCTAGATATTTGGTATTTTGCTGAGTAGCTGAAGAAGGAAAATAATTAAGCAGCTTGATATTCCGATTCTATGACCTGTTAAATACTACCAAATTTCAGAGGGTTCACAGCACAGCAATAAAGCAGGGTCATATAATGCTGTATGAAATATTCATGTTAAATTAAAAATACTGCCTTATATATCTTTAGGAGTGAGTTCATCAAAATTAAAGAAACAAACCCAAATCTCTGATCAAGACTTCCAGAAAGTGGCATAAGGCTGCTAATGTAAAATACCAATAATATGCTGAAATTTATGATAGACCTAAGTGAGAAATCCTGCTTCGCTTAAATTAACAGGAGGTTCACCTTCGCAGTGCAAGAAACTGTGATTAGGATGACATAATATTATTACATATAGAAAATATTATGGCATCAGTACTGGAATCTGATTCCATTTAGATGAAGATTGCCAAGCCAATGAGAAGTTCTTGAAAGCTCAAGGAGATAATACTTTCTCAAAAAAATTATATTCTGTATATATTGATAAAACTATATACATTCATTCACCTGCATTCTTATGAGCTATAATAATTCATAATTATAAATTTATACTCATTTAATTGTTCATATATTCAAAAACTATGCACATTTGTTCTCCAATCTCATCTGGAAAGCAGCATCAGAATAGCAGTTTATTTTTCATCTGAAAATAGCCTCTGAGTTTGCCTCATCAACCCCATTCTTCTGACCTCTCCTTTTTCACATATCCCATAGAAGCGTCTTGCCTTTAGCTTTAAAATGTTGTGCATTATCCTAGCTGTACTTCATTGATCCAGTAACCAATTGTGGTACCAACCCTAAAAATGACCCCATCCTTTACTGGAAATAGCTTCCAACAAGTAGTTAGCCTCTTCTGTCAAATTCTCCATCCCCTCACTTTTCCTTTTTTTCTTACTTGACTAGAAACTTCCAAATAACATTGGAACAGCCAGGATTTTAGCTACTCGCAAATGTAGTTATGAAGGCATCTGCCTATCTAATGATGTACACAAACTGTAGCCTTTCGGTTACTATTACAGAGGTGACAAACTTTGATCTTTCATTTCCTCAGTTGTACCTCTAGCTTTTTTTATATCTCCAGTGTGAACTGAAAACAAAGTTGCTACTATATTATAGTACTAATAATTAATAGTGTTCTAGTTCTTCACTGTAGTTAATTTCTTGTAAATCTCACCTTTTGTTTCTTTAGACTGTGATCCTGTATTGCAGAGGCCATTTTTCCCCCTGTATATTTGAAATTGCACATGATCAATCTGATCTTAAGTTACTCCTATAGTACGAGTACATAAAGGATGCTATAATCCTAAAAGTGAGGCGACTACTGGTGTTCAGGATATAACAAAAGTCTTGTAGCCCTGGGAGGACAAGAAGAAAGTACAGAGGAGCATAAATGGCATCCCTTCTGGCATTTTCAAAAACTGCAGCCAGCAATGTGAAGAGAAAAATTCTAAAGCATCTTTGCAAAAGATTCTTTGCATAAGCGGTTTCAAATCTTTGCTCCTAGAAATATTGTAACATTAAAAGACAAACTATATAACAATGAAACTGGCAAGTTCTGTGCTTGGATGGAACGAGAGTGGGAAAATCATTGCTCATTTAAATTCCTGATTTTATATAGCACTGAGATTACAAAATAGCTGCGATAACAGATACAAATTATTCCAATTATAACTGGAAGAAATGCAATTCTTGTTTAAATAATGGTCTGTGTGACCAGCTATTGATATTTATATTGGCTAAGTTTTTAAGGTTGGTTGAGGAGAGACCTATTTTCCACAAAACAACTTGGTTTCAAGCGGAGATTCACTGTAGCTGGAGCTACACTTTCTGTTCTGTGTATTGAATATTGGGACCTACATTCTGCAGTATCTAAGAAGTTTCATTTTTCTGGTGATTAATTTTTAAAATGCTGAAAGAGTAGCAGAGGACTGCAAGTTTAAATCAATTATTTGAATGAACATTATCGAGATTGTCACTGAGCAATCCTTCTGTGGATATTATTTATGCTACACAGGTTTTTTAGAGGAATTAGTGGCCAGAGAATGTAGGTTTCCCTCAGAGGAAACTGCTGTTAACTTTACAGGGAATTTTGCGTGCATAAAGTTTGTGGAATTAGACCCTGATTTATAAATTCTTTTTTTGAAGCAATTTTGAAGTCTTTACCACCTGAATCTATTTCTTCACTCAGAATTAAGGAGCTAAAGCCGTTAGTCTGCCATTAATCAACTGCCACAGCTAAGGGATGAATTTAGACCTCTATCTTCTGTTTGATGCTCAGATTATACCTTTAATCTAATTAGCTTGTAATATTTGCCCATGCCTGGATAGGAAATTAGGGTGTTCCCTTCAAATATGGATCGTTTCACTGCTGTTTGACGTTTTGCACCTAGGGATGGAATTATTGCAGTCTATCCCTCACCTTTGGGGTAGGACATCCTCCTAGAAACGTATGACTGCAGCGTGCCTTTGCTGTTCTGTGGTTCCCCTGTTTCGCTCTGGCTGGAGATTAAACTGAATCTCCTGATCTATAATAATTAATGGGACTAAGGTTTGAGTTTTACTACCTCTCTGCTGTTGAAGTGAAGACTGATAGAGCCTTTCATTTTGAAAGGCTCAAGAATTCAAACATATTCCTGGTCCTTGAACGGAAATAGCCTGAAATAAATAATTTTGGGGTCATGCTGCAGGAGATCTTTGAAGAGGCGGTGTCTATATAGCCATAAATTGGCCTAATTCCTATGAAACTGATTTAAATACTGTAAGATTAATAAAATTAGTCATGCAATAAATATAATTATTTTGTGTTTCCTAGAACCTGGTTTATATGTCTTTATTAGTTTTCTTCTGAACAATTTTGAAATAAAAGGTTGAATGAAAACTAATCTTTCCTCATTCTTTCTTAGATGTCCAGTATCTGCCGGGCAGCAGTACATGCTGGTGTAGTCCGCAACGAGGGCGGTTATGTTGATGTTATGCCCGTAGACAAAAGAAAGGTGTACGTTGCTTCCTTTCAAAATGGGATATATTCAGAAAGGTACAGAGCCCAGTTTCAAAGATTACCCTTTACCCTTCACCTCAATAAGATTTACAAAGTCTTGCATTGTGTCTGTTTGTACCTGGGGCAGTGCTAGAAACCAAACAAATAGGCCAGCATGGGTGATTTACGGAGCTTGTGTAACAGCTATAGTGACTTTGGAGAAGCTGTGGTACCAGAGCTGCCTGCCTCCTCTAAGCTCATAAATCATTACTCTAAAAAGCTGCTTATGACATAAAATAACCCTCTTGTTTACTTGGCTGGTTCTGTTGCAACTAACACAATATTTGATAAGAAAATTGCCTTTGCTTTCTTTGGGATTTTTTAAAAATTAACATTAGTGATTTAGTCTGTCCAAGTTAGAGGATCTGCAATAGACGGGTACCATAGATAGTACTAAGATAGAGTATTTTCTTCTTATTTTCAGTTGGGGGTGGGGGGTTGTCTTGCCTCTTTCCTTCAAACCTTTCAACAAACCTGGAAACTTGTAAAATACAGATTTCCTTTGCTTAGTGGATGACTTAATTTACATATTCTTTGGCCTTTCCACATGACCATCTAGTTCCCTCAGAAAGAGTGCTTCCTTACTGACACTTTTGTTCTCCATCTAAATCTCCTCATTGAGTAGAGATGTAGGCTGGAAAAGTGTTGCAAATTTAATCATTATTTGTACTTTACTATCTTGGTAAAGTTTGGAAGGTCAGCGGTTCGGAAAACAATCCCAGGCAAGTTTTCTGTGAAGCAGAAGATGATGGATTGTAATGCCATTGCAGGCAAACTGTTTCATTGTGCCCTTCTTTACTCTCACCTCCATTTCCCTTTCCTTCCCAGATATACCTCAGACAGGGTTTGCAAAAGAGAAAACAATGGGACCATTAAATGTGACATGCTAGTTCAATTTATAAGACAAAAATATTTAGTCTAACAAAGTTTCATTGCAGTTGGGTATTTTTGTTTCATTTCTTTTGAAGCCAGATATTTATCCTTTCAAGAAGGCATTTCCTTTGTTTTTGTAAAATATTAATTCTCTTTAGAAATCTATTCTTCAGCATATAAGCAACTTACAAACAAGTGATTTCCTAGGTCTGCAAGCTCTATCTGAATATAGTTATTAGAATAGTGAGCATAAGATGCATGCTTTCTCTTTTTCCTAAAAACTCTTTTTTAGTATTTTGCTTCAATAGAGCATTATTCTTTAAACCCAAATGCCTCATCACAAAGGATTACTTGAATTTTTTTATGTTATGATTTGTACCTAATAAGCTGCTTGGAAGAAAGATTAATCTGAAATTTATGTAATTTTATTAGTAACAGCTTTAAAAAACATTCTTAGATAGTTAAAGTTATGAGTAGTCACAGGAAGAGTTGCAGGATCCTAGAATTATATTTAACAATTCAAAAAAGTTGTCATTGGAGTGTTGCAGTCTTAAAAATAACATCAGGAATGTTCTTGTTCTTATGTTTCAGTTTACAGAATCCTCCAGGAAGCAAGGCATTCAGAGTATTTGCTGTTGTTTGAGTCTAGCAAGTAAAATGTAAAACAAGCAAGTGAAACCAGATCACCTGGAAGAGAATAATAAAGGCCATTTCTTATAATTCCTAAAATTTGTATAAAGCTGTAACATTATTGTACAGAAGATGTATACTGCTTTCCACCAAAAAGTTTAAATTACATATATATCTTAATGAAAAAAATTTGTAAAAGTAAACATGGGAGAAAAATTCATTTGAAAATCTATAAAGATATATAACAATATTTTGAATCCTGTGTTAAATATTGCTATATTTTCTTAGCAGTTACTCCTATACAGTTAATTCAAAGCTCATAAATGTTCTTTGTTTTCTTCATCTGAATATGTTATTGTATGGTGCTTTATATATGCCACTAACAGTAACCTTAGAACTATACCATAGGGAGGCCTGAGTTTTTATTTCCAAGGTACATAAAAGAAGCCATCCCAATAATTCAATATAAAAAATCATACCTTAAAGTAAAATAAATATATATAACTTTCTGATGATTTACCATAGCATTAGCCATGCAAACATAAATGAAGAGCTAAGACTGTTTTCAATTTCACACTAATCATAGGTACAAATACCTGTTTTGAAGTGAAACGGAAAATATAAAATATAGGGAAGTCCTGGGTCATATTAGCATGTTTCCTCTAAAGAAATATTTTTAAGAAACTGGGCCATCCATGTTTATTATGTCTTAAATAAGTTAATAAATAAAATGTTTACTGGATGCTGCTAAGCTCTTTAGTTCTAATAACCAATTCATTATGGCCCAGTCCTTCACAGATATTCAGCTATCTTGGGATGGGTGGGTGAGAGATAGATATACATAACCTTGAAGGATCTGAGAAAATTTTCATACTGAGAGGTGGAGTAACCTGAAATTAAGGAATAAGCCATCAGTTCTGCAGTGCAGCTCTGCACACATACATGCTTTATTTTTGCCATGTGACTCCTTCAATTTACCTAAATTGGGTTGCAGCAAAAATGTAGAATTGTACACATACATAAAGATTTGCAAGCTTGAGGCCTTAAGCTGTGCATGGTATCCGTATACTATACATTAATATGAGGGTAAAAGTTCAAGAAAAATTTAAAGAAAATGGTAAGAAAGGCTAACCTTGCTCCTCATGACCTGGCAAATACTCCTGCAGGCCAGGAAGTATAGTGGTACGGAGCCCAGTGACAATTATGTCATATGTTGCTTCACCATTTTTAAAAATTCATTTATGGTGAACAGCCTTGTGCATTAATTTTACCATATTATGGTATATGAAGAACATGTAGTGGTGATACTATGTTTCTTTCTATGAAAAGTGTATTGGTGCTTTAAGACTGAAAAGCTGTTAAACTTTATTTTTGGTATTTTTTGTTTCTGTTGTTGAATTTATTTCCTTCCAACTTGTAAACTTATTCGTATTCTTCATATTTCAGAATATTATATTCTGCCTTCTGTTTTGCTACATGTACTACCTCATGTAGTTAGGCAAGCTTTGTTAGTTTTTTTTAATCTGTTTTGAATAAAAGTGATTTACACAGTAAGAGTACCTTTGACAGCCTTCATTTTTTGATTGTTTGTCCTGCGTCAAGAAGAAAAAAATAACAGCCACCCAAAATTTACTTTTTTTTTTTTTTTTTCTGACCTAAACATTGCAAGTGTAGGACCAAGCAGTAGACATAGTCTGAGGTTCTAAAAGCTGTAAAGGCAATTTAGGCACATAACTTCCATTAATTGCATTGGGAGTTTTATGGATAAATCTTCTGGTCATTTTTCAAGTTTTGACCAGGGTCTTTGGGAACAGATTGCTTTCCCATTTTAATGGGGAACTCTGTGTCAGGAATTGGTTATAAAAAAACCACCACCTTTCAATCAGTCCAACTCTTTGCCATTGTGGTAACTGTTTCTAGTGCAAATGTTCCTAACTACATTTGTTGGGAACAAGCAGGTTTTTATATTACACATTCCTTTTTTGCCTCATAAGGCTAATGGTCAACTTGGGAGTTCCAGAAAGGGAAATCTATTTAATTGATGAGGGAGACAAAGAGTCTTTGATGTATAATCCCTTTTTTTTGCAGGTGGTGGCAGGGGGGCATTGAAAGAAGCTTTATATAGATTTTGCAATACTGGCATTAACTGTTTTTCAGAATTGAAACCAAAGTGCAAGTAGACTTTGACCATGATGGGACTCCAAGTCACTTAAAGGCTTGAGATAGACTTGCACCAAGTTTCCTTAAAAGCACCAAAGCAGTAACACAGAAAGGCCTTGCAATACCTACAGTTGGGGTTATCAGAACATAAAATGGAGTAAAGCCACTTCTGAAATTAAGGACACGTAGAACTGCTGAGGAAGACATTTGAAACAAAATGGTGTGAATGCAACCGTAGTGTCTCTTTCCACACAGGCGGGATGCTTTCTTGCAGCCTGGCCTTGCCATCTGGCAGTCCTCCATGTCCCCTGCCTGGCCCGTGGTCCCCAGAAGTTGCCTCAGGAGCCCATGGGAAGCCTGTTAGGTGCTGCAGAGCCTAAGTGGTGAGCCAGCTCCCTGCTCTGCTGACCAGGTAGTAGGGTGCACCCCTTTCTTTGGGCAGAGCAGAGCCTGGGGTGAGGGAAAAAACGAGACAAGTCACACCTTCAGTCATAACCACAATTTCCTCACTTTGGGTAGATGGGTGATTGAAGTCCCATGTGGAAACACAGTTGCCACACCAAATGTCTGCGTTTTTCCTCCATTTGTTCCTGATGTCTTTTTTGTTCTACTGCATATCTTTGCTGCTTCTCCTCTCTTTCTTTCATCTGTAAAGTCCCACGTAGATTTGCTGGGCATTCCTGTGCAAGGGGGCAGGGGTGGACCCTTCGTGCCATAACAACAAACTTAGTGCTTGGTGGGAGGAGAAGTGGGGGCTACCTTCAGCATGTGTGAATGATTGCTGTGAGCAGCTCTACTAACCAACACAGTGACAAGAAGAAAGGGAGGTAACTCTTTCTCCTCATATCTTCTGTTGCACAAATTTTAGAGTCCTGTTGCTTTTCCACATGTAATGATTCTATTCTATTCTAAATATTCCAGCTAACTTTGGCTTTTTGAGAAATTCTCTTCTCTATTTACTCTAAGTAATGAGTCAGTGAGTAGACATTCCCAAGCATTTGTAGAGTGAGAGCTACACTTTGGTATTTTTATCTGCACTGGCAGCAACTGTATGCCAGATGGTCACAACTGATTCACAGAAAGTCCAAGTGAGTAAGTAGGAGTATCAGAAAATTTGTTGTAGCCTAAATAAAAAATATAGAAGGCAAATTTTAAATTCTGTAGAATTTTTTGGTTAACCAAACAGTTACAATATTCTCAACTTGAAATAAAGTGAAAGGTATAATCAATAAGCAAGTAAAGCTTAATTCATGCTATTCATAATATTTAGCTTGCCTCCCAGGAAAGACCTATAAGTAGCCAACAAGAATTACTACAACTGATACATAACAATCCTCTGCCAAAAAAAAAAAAAAAAAAGCTGTTTTAGTACGTTGATATCTGCCATTTATAATTTTGAAAGGGCTAAAATATCAAGAAACGTAACCCCACTAAATTCAGTAGGCCCTTGAAAGTGTATGCGAAGCAGGGAAAAATACATATTAACCTTTTCCCATGATCCTGTGGTATTTCCCATTATGACTTGCTCCATGAGGAATCTTTTCAAACAAAAAGCATAGGAATCATTTGGAGAGGAGTCAAGTATTTTTTCAAGCATAGTTCACTTGCCTGGTGAACTTTTTGGTAAGGATCAATTGAGGCATTTCTCACTATGCTGCATTACTTCCAGCTGGAGTAGCTAATTTCATAACTTAACAAGAGTTAGTATGAAAGAAAGTTGTCAGACCCAAACAGATAATTGTTTAACAGTCTCTCACCATTTTGATAGCTATATGAGCATACGTCTGTTTTAGGGAACTTGGGATCCATACTCATGTCAGCAGGCAGCTCATAGTACTAGCTGGACATAAACTAGGGAAACTAATAAACATTTCCTAAAATTTATGAATACTGAGGAATTTTAGAGAGTTTACAGACTTCCTTGTGTCTGATTTGTGCACAGGGGACAGTCTTATCTAGAAATTATACACAAAGTATTTTTGGAACCAAGCCTGAAACACAAGTTTGGATAACATGTATGTAAGTTTGCAGGTTTTTAACTGACGAAGTATTCAGTTTCATGTTTTATGTAAATGTCAGACTGTCAGCGGCCTATGGATTGTCAGCAGATTTAAAAGAAGAAAAGTAACCAGCTTTTTTGTGTGAATTGATACATATGCTCAGGAAAATGCACACCACTTTACTTCATATGGCAGAGATGTAACCAAGCTACTCACATGAACAGTGTCTTCTGTGGGGCAATTGCTTTTGAAGTACCTTTTGAATTTGGCTTAAAACTCAGATAACCAAGCTTCCTGTGAATACACAAGGGAAGGTTTATTTCCTGTAATTTCTGTAGTCATACAAAGGGTCAGATTTAGAAATGTAAATATTTGGAAGTTACAAAGATTATTCATACAGTGCAATATCCTATTCAGAAATTTATATAAATACTGTATGAAATACTATACTGTCACACTTCTATGTCTTAAGGCTTTTTATAGCATCTGTGGAACTCTAGGGAATTATACAAGGAATGAAAAGTCTGAAGAGTTTTGTTTCATTCAGTGTATAATATGCATCTTACAGATTTACAAATGATAGCATACATCAATATTCAGAAAATTGCATAAGATTTTATAAATATGTACATTTTGCATATGGGAAAAGAAGCCATGCTGTCAGCCTTAGCTTTAGCTTGTCTTTGCTGTCAGGAATAAATGGTGGAAATAGTATTTTAAGTATGGTCACTATTGATATTATTGGTATTATTGTTATTAAATGAGAAGTCCTTGTCATGTACTAGGGGGCTGTGAAAATACAATAAAATGTGATTCCTGCTCCATGTTAACATACGATAATAATATGACACCTGAAGTTTGCCATCAGCTGTTCAAAGACCTGTGTTAAATGTCTTGTTTTTCTTAGCCTGTTTGCTAGGAGACAGATGCCTATATCATTAAACCATTGTAGCACTTTGCAAAAAGTACTAATAATGCCTCGAATTTTCAGAAGCTGGCACAAGCCCCCCAGTCAGACCAGCTCAATATAATAAGGCACAGGAAAATATGAGAGACTGAAGGAGGAAAGTTAAGAACATGCAACCAAAACAGCCAGTCATGATGCTCCCTGTCTTACTATCCACATTGATTTCTGCAATTACCCTAGTTATTCAATTCAGTATCTGCCCCCAGTGTTATATCCAATATTGGTTTTGTCTTTACTAACAATGGGGTGTCTGAAGGCTAGCAGCAAAGTTGTTGGTTAAGAACTGAGATACACTGGCCAAACAATATGAGTAAGTTTGCAATACTGTATCTTTTAATAGGCACACAAAAGACTTCAGTTGCCAATGGCAATAACTCTGGGCCTTTTAAATTAACTAATTTTATTTAAAACATAAACATTGTAATAAAATAAAAATGTCAGCACATGGTAACTCTTTAGTAAGAAATTCAGTTGTTCA